CGTCGACGTTGCGCTTGGCACGCGGGGGTTCTGCTGCGTCGACTGGCTTGGCTTTACGGGGACTCGGTTGCTGTAGACGCTTGGCATCTGGGGGAGAAGAGACAAAGAGGCAGAGCGAGATATGGGGAACGGTACTCCGTAGATGGGGGGGGGGGAAAGAGAGGGTCCGGAATTAACAAGAGCCGACGATCACCTCCTCTAGGACTTGTACATCGAATCAATAGCGCGAGTCGTTGAAGAAAAGAAAGTGGATATCTCAGATGCCTTCTTTTCCGCCCTGTCTCCAGAATCAAAACTCAATGAGCACTCACCGTCCGCTAATATGCTCATCACAATGACTAACGAGCCGTATATGCCGAGGAACCGATTCTCGATTCGTCCTGTGCCGTCCAACTCCAACGTTGCTCGTTGTCGCTTTGACCGCCAGGTGGAACTTGTTAATGAGCGAGGCCGCTTGGCTTACGCTTGCCAAGCCACTCAAGCTTAATGGCAGATATCGTCTTTGTCTTGTGTCATATGAACTCCCTTTAGTTGTATCCTTCACGTGAAGCCGAAGATACTGAAAATCGTTATTTCCGCACGCCTCACTCTTTCCCTTTCCCGTCCCTGTTTTACAATCTAATTGATTAATAACTCGAGTCAAGCCAAATGTTTCTGTTTCCCGCCTTTGAACGCCTCTGCCGTTATCCGGTAGAGCCTTTTACTCGCGCAGGTTGATTAACCACGTGCGTTGGACGAGCATCGTTCCCATGCTAGGAAACGATCGCTGAGAGATGCCACGCGAGCAACAAGGCGAGACAGGGCAAGACAAGACAAGACAAGGCAAGGCAAGGCAAGGCAAGGCAAGGCAAGGCCTGCTGCAGTAGCCAGCAGGTAACATGTCGACTATCGTGTCACATCGTTTGCATGAGAGCGGTCTGCTTGTTTCCGCTATCCCAGTATCAGTTGTAGTGCTCAAGCCACCTCAAGATCTATTTGTCCTGAAGGATCAAGTTACCCGTGAGCTATATCATTATGCCACCTTTTTGATATCAGCCAAGATGCTGTCGTAAGGTCTAGACTTTGGGACTATTAGATTCTCCTATAGCACCCTCTTAAACAACAAGTGTGTGGTATCGTGCCATCACAGACGCAAGCTGACGGCACAGTCTCGAATCCTTGTCGCATCAACCTTAAGACCCCGGATTTCTTCTTTTTATCCCGCCCGCCGGACTGGCATCCATCTTAATCTGGCTCAATGCATTTGCTTTTTGCCGTCCCCGCATCACATCACATCCCATCCCATCGCAGTCCCATCGCAGTCCACTCTGGTGGGTAGACAGACTAACAGCACTGTACGGAGTAATGGCAATCCAAACTCGTTCGACAATCTCAGATTTCTCGTAACAAAACCCAGAATCTGGGGTGGCGAAACCTGGGGTATCTTGAACCGTCCGTCTGGGGTTTCTTGGCTATGACCTCTTTGGTTGCCGCTCATTCATCGTTTTGGCAACTGAGCACCGAATTCTTTGCCCTGAAACGTTAGCTCCCCGTGGTCAGGCATCCAATTAGTCTCCAAACATTGACGCACCAACACCGGTCAAATTAATGCCACAAGGCGCGTTCCAGCTAGCCTCCATTTTGTCCAAGTTAGCCTGTTCGGCTAAATAAATGCACCAACGATAGCCTCATCTCTGAGCCATGCGTCGGAGCTTCTTCTGTAAACATCAATTGACTTTCTCGCCTCGTAAGGCGCAGACACTTATGGGTTCTTTTGTATGTCTTCTTTCTTGTGCCTCAGGTCAAGTCAATAGTTGATGGCCTCCGAATCCTTCTCGGGTCCATGATTTGGAGTCATTATCATTAAGCTTACCCCTTTTCCACCTCCTTTCGTCATCCAATATCAACATGTCCGTTATCGCACTCTTTGAACAAGGAGACACTGCCAAGCTGTCTGATGAACATGTTCCAGACTCGACTCACGAGCCAGAAGTTCCGGAGCTTCAGAGCCAAGCACCTGACCTAGTTAGCCTCCACGTTGCATCAAGACCCCGGGCATATCCTTGTTGTCAAGATTATGCTTCAAACTCTGTTTCTTCTCTAAATCCTCTCTCATCGAATCCATCGATACGTGATACCATGCTCTTCCCGACCAGGATCCCCTCTGTTGCCTCCCGCTCCCCCTAGCCCTCAAAACACGATGTTTTGTAGTTTCCTGGTCAGCGAAGCGAAGTCATCGTAAGCACAATGGATGGCTTGACGCATCAAGGGCAGGTAGCACTGCCACATGGATGTCGGGGTGGACGATTCGCATCACACAACTAAGCCAAATGGATAAAGTCGTTCCAGATGCATCGGACTTTGTCATCTTCACGATTTGTCTATCATGTTCCTTGCATCGGCCTCCAACTCTTTCCTTCCTAGGCAGGGTCCGAAGTGGCTCCCGGTTCGTGATGCTTGTAGACCGATTCGCGACAAAGCCTTTTTAGAAGACTGATTGACAATGCTACAGTACCAGTATGTACTGAGCCCTTCTAGAGCCTCTGGCTCGTTTATCACCTTGATATTTAAGCGATACCCTCCTGAATATGGTCATGGTTTCGAGGGAAGCAGATCTCCCCCTGGTTTTCAAGAAACATCGAGATCCTTTGGCCAGTATCACGGCATGGCCGAAACTCTGGCCAAAGTCCCTGGTCACAAACAGGCATGCTGCTATAAACAGTCGCTTCCATGTTTGCCCAGAAAACCCCTCGAGCCTGACTTCTTCTTTTTAGTCATAAGAATCCAAAGTCCGCACCGGCTTCGATGCACCCGTGGTGACTCCAGGGTCTTCACCGTTTGATCTTCTGTTATCTACCGCATCGAAGGAGGCTGGGTTGTTACGACTGCGGGTTGATAGCCCAAATGAGAAGAAAGTTCCCTTGGCTGTTTCTTGTCTTCACTTTCTCGCTTCTCCTTCATTAATCCGTTGTCAACCCTCAAAATAGAAACTGCCGAAGCAACAGCAAAGGAAACTTGGTAACACGAGAAGACGCCAATGAATAATATACAACCCATTCCTTTCAGCCCAAGTCAGAGATATAGTGAACTCCGTGGCAAAATGATGCAGTTTTGTGACCGGTCTGGACATACAGACACTTGAAGGGTTCCAATCAAGACAAAGAACGCGATACAGGCTGGACATTGGGACAATAGCCATAAACAATCACCGACACTTTTACGTGTTTTAGAAGTAATACACATGTAAGAACCCGATCTGAAATCATTTGTACTGGACCGCTGTTTGGTACATAGAACCGTGAGGAGCTACCATATGCATCGGCAGTCGCCTGGGAATGATGTGAATTGCACTATTTCGCAGGTTGTTCCTTAGATTACCAAGGAACACGGAAGTGTCATGTTTAATTGTAGGGTGCACATCTTGTTCTTGATGATAGTTGACTAGTCATGGTGAAAATTAAGCCCTGGCAAACAAAAGACATCCAGGCAAGATAACTTTCTTCGTTCATCAAAGAAAGCAGCCTAGGATAGGCTCCACCAAGATAAGAAAGGTTAATGAAACAAATCTATGAGGGAATATATGTAAATGAAGTCAGATGCGAACTGACCTGTATCTCTTACGGCTCGTGATGTGATGTGTTGTCTAACTCACCCACATCCGCCTCTGATGATCAGCTTAGAACCAAAATCTTTTCTGAATCACCACACGATAAAGACATACGGAAACTTTTAGTAACTGATAAATACGTCCTATCAAATACCGAGTCCTCCCGCACCCTCATTACTACCGTCACCAGTGTCTAGGAAGATCTAATATAATCTTGATCATTATGACCAAGGGACAACGGACAAAGATTTCTGTCAAAGCCAACAAGACATTCAAAAAGCCCAGACCAAATTCAAAGCCAAAGTCACAGTCACACAGGTAATTGATTGAACCCAAAGGGCGATCTTATGCTGACCAGCAGATTAACAACCGTCGTGAAACCCCAGGAGGGCCAGGTTTGCAACATTATCCAGAAAACGTTGATAGCACTGCATAACGCCGTCTGCAATAAATGTAAAGATATATCGGCCGAGGTGCAAGAGTCCTGCTATCGTGTTGGTAGCTTCCATACATGTGTGCTCGAGTTTACCTTGGAGGTTGGTATCGATGGGCAAGATGGAGAATGCATGGATTGGCAATGGGAACCAACGATTCCTGTTCACCTCGTTCGTACGGTCTATGAAGAATCGTGTTATCCCGAGGGAGCGGTCACGAGGTCTTGGGATATGAGCAATTCACAGATACCTTAGGGAAGATCATGTCATGATAGGCCTTGTAACTAATCAATATGACCGCAACTTGAAGTCAATGGTGCTTGGGGATCATTTGGCTCGATACATGCATTTAGGGGAGATTCCGTCTGTACTGAAGATTTGTTGTTAGTCTGGGTACAGAGTCTCCTATACCGAGTTCTTAAGAAACTTCACTGCCCAGCAAAGATGTGTTGACCAACTGCGTGGAACCTTTTCAGAGATGGTGTTAACAATCTGGGATCGATATCCGCAAAGGAAACTCATGGTGTACTTTGATCATGCTGAAGCAAAGCGAGGCATGACGGGAGAGGGTATAGAACACTGTACACACGAGTCACCCTCACTTTCCACAAGGTAGATGGGCTTTTTGCGCTCTCTACCTAGGTACCTACCTACCTATAGGTACCTACTACCTACCTAGGTACTACCTAAGGTAGACTTACTTACCTACTAAGGTACTACTTAGTAGGTAGTACCTACCTCCATACCTTGGGTACCCTGACATTCGCCGACACGGTATCCAATAATCAAATCTAGGAAGGCAGTAAAACATCCCCTGGCTGTTATAAGTAAGGGGACCTCCTTCTCTTATACAGACAATCTTACCAAAGCTAAGCCCTCTCTTATCCCAACTCCTGGCTTCAATTCCATCCCAACACTCAGATGGACGAATCTTTATATCTACATTCTACCATTACCTCTCGTAGTTCTATCTCCCAGCCATGGAAGATGTAGGACCAAGGACAGTAGTAGCGGCAGCCACGGCAGCAGAAAATCCTACGATCCCTTCAAGTACCTATAACCACACGACTCTTCCGAGCAACACTTATTCTTCCGATCAATCTCGTGATCCATCGCTTTCTAGCCGCCCTTCTTTACCTTGGACCCCTTATTCTGAATCTTCCATTGGGCTAGACAAGGACTCGATCGATGATCATCATTCACGATTCTCGCATGTGCACACCCCGGAATCCTCCTATGGGACAAGGCCACCATCAGTCAACGAGGAAGCCATGCGCTATCATCGAAGACGGCAGGGAAGGCTTAGAATCCCTGAAGAGAGGTTTAACCCAAGCGACCGCTACAGACGTTCTCATCGTGGACGCCGTGGTCGCCATGCTCACTCTAGCCATCGTCAACCGCAGCGCAACGAAAGACGTAGTAGTGCAAATACAGGGTGTCTACGATCTTCCAAGCATATAGAAAACCCAGTCGACATAGTCCTAGAACCTCAGCCAGACAAAACCAAGGTTGCAGGTGACAAATTGACCAAGAAAACTGGGAGCAACGGCACGACTTGGGGACGTATCAGTCAAGGCTTGGGGCTCGGGAAATCCAAAAAGAACGAACAGCCGGAAGAACAACCACCTGTTGAAGCTGAAGATGTACCGAAGAAAAAGAGCAAGTGGAAGTTCTGGGCCAAGCAGCTACCTGGTGACGATGCTGAGGCTAGTAATGCTCCAAAGACGTCGAAACCCAACGACGAACCTATGTTCTCAGTCACCTCAGATTCAAGGCCAAGCTTACTCGAAGCGCATGAGGAAGCTCCTACTTCTGTTCACCTACATACTGTAATGAGACGAGTATCCAGAGGGGAGTGATCGGAGGCATGTGTTGGAACAGAATCAGGCCAGTTTGAATAATCGAAGGATGCAAAGGATTAGAACTTCTAATTGTTTCTCCGGTACAATTATCTCTACCTAGTAATCATGAGATACCAACTTGCTATGTTGTGATCGTGACAAGTGGCCCAGTGCGGATATGTGCAACACCACGTAGGACGCAACCATGTACCAAGTTCCTGTCCCTCTCAGGAGATCATGGCTTATCAGAAACATCAAAGCGCCCCGGAAAGTCAAGGCATACTATATTTGACGCTAAAAAGTGTGAGGCTTAGGCCGACCCGAGATCGATATAGACTTCAACACCAACATGAAGTATCCCAAGGCACAGAACAAGCAGCAAGGTATGGAGACCATTTTGTTCGAGGCCTTGGGCTCTCGGCTCAAGTTGAACAAGCCGATCTTTACCCTCGTGAAAATACCAGCATGCACGTCATCCCCAGAATGGTGCAAATCGCCCCAATTCAGCCATATAGCAGAGCCGCACAAACATCGCGACCTGTTCTCCTCTGGCTTTGGAATCCGAGCATTATCGCAATGCACCCTTTCCAACAGCTGTATGACGTCGAGGACGGCTCGAGGGGATGAGCCCCCACGAGAATGGCTTGGTGGAAGGCCGGTATGAAGCGGCTTTTGAAGGGTCTGGCCTGGAAAACGTGGGGAAGTATGTTTTGCATGTGGTTTGATGGTTAGTCTGGTGATTGTACTGTGCCGATATGGGGTAGCTTACCTAGTACCTTTGGACTGGGCTATCTGCTGTTGAGAGTGAGTTATATGGTTCGATTTCTGTTTCACTTTGATAAGCTATGGACAAAAATAAGGTAGGCGGACTCTGCTTAAGGCGATGACCTGCATTGTAAATGTCGTGATCGTTCACTGTCATAAACAAGATGTGCACATTTACAAGCGTGCTCACATCATCCCGTCCCGTCCCCCAGCCTTACGGGGTAAAATGCTAAGATGGGGGAATCATTGTTAGTCAAAACACTTGGTCATCCATCTCTGGCACACCTACAAACAGTACAAACAGTACAGCGCACTTTGAGGAGATTAATTGTGTTCCATTTGCTGCTACTGCACGGGCGCTTTGTCTCAGCACCTCAGCTGCACATAGAGCCTTCGCCAATCAATCCTGAGCGCCTAACACATTTTTGTAATTTACCAAACCAAAGTTTCATACAAACTCATGAGCCAGAAAAACAAATGAGACTTGCCGTAGTGGCACGACATCACAAATGAGACAGTAAGAAGATGACACCCCATTTTCCACATGATGGAACCAACCAAGCCAGACCGAACCAGAAAACCAAGAACTAGAACTAGAACCAAAACCAAAACCGAAGTCGAAATCAAAATCAAAATCAGAATCAGAATCAGAATCACAAACGAGGAGGTAGTTCCTAGTCACATGCCTCCTCCTCTCGGCCGTTTGATGCACACTCCCCCACCTTCACTTGGGCGAACCAAGAGGGGCTTGGATGGCGTCCAAGTACTAGTACAAACAAGCAATTCCTTTTCTTCCGTCGCTAGACGGTCAAAGTGGAGTAACTTGGATCTCTCCCCCCCCTTCCCCCCGCGAGGCTCGTCCCGAGCCCTCTGATCTCGTGGCCGCGGGCCCACCGTTAGAGCTTCAGGACCCGCCTGTTTGCGGGAACTATTCATTCGTGGTGGGGAAACTACAGTATGAAAAAGAACAAGAATTACAATGGAACGGTTCGAGCCATTCTCGTGACAATTCAGAGGCCATTTCCACTACTCGGCAAGTAGTTAGGTAGTTTCTCTCTATAAAGATCAACAACACCCCAAACCATCAAACATCAGACATCAAACATCACGCAAATAATAATGATGCTCGCCTCCACTACTCAAAACACCACACGCCAACCAGTCAAATAACCCTTATTATCTTCACCTTTTAACAAGAACTTTAACCAATCTACCTACTCTTTTCCATAATACCAGCCCAAGGGTATAAACATCCGGATACATTACCTCCTTTCTCAAAGTCCAATAACAACAAGAATGGGGTATATGACATTGCTTGCGCCAGAAACAAACCGAAAAAACAGCAAACGTTAACAAAAGCACGCTGAATGAAGTAGAAAAAACAGACTCAAGAATACCGTGCTGACCTAGGTTTCTGCCTAGTCCTGTTTTGCACCAGACTGGAACTGGTCTGCTCAGATCTTAACCTGAAGATAAGCAGATAACCATCTTTGACCACCAAATGGAAGCCGAAACATATTTCGACACAAATGAAAACAAGAGGGAGAAGGGAAGTAAAAGGGTGGAGCTAACAAAATGAAATATAGCCATAGCCTCACAGCATTGGCAATCTCGTCACCAGGTAGAGTGTGCGACACTGCTCGAGGTCAATAGACTTTGTCTACCGCCCGACACGCCTGGGGTATAGGTCACTGCCCTTGAGAGCTGGTTCGTTCCAATTCTTGAACCATCATTGGAGTGTTCGCTTGTTACAAGCTGCATCATGTCTTCTGGTAGTTCTGCACCCTCGTCGTTCCACCAATAGTGCAGGACATCACTCTGCCAGCGATCAAGATCACGGATCTTGAGTCCCCGACTCTTGGTGAAGGTTGTATGGAGAAGCAGCGCATTCACTGACGATAGCCTAAGCTGGTGCAAAAGCCATCTATTAATAAAATCACCCTTGCCGCCCTCACCATGATCCAGCATGAGCCGATCGATTGAATACTCCTTGGACGCGAGCTGCATGCGGCTTGGTTTCACCGGGTCAGTCACCGGTAGGGCTGCTGCTGCCTTGAGTGCATCACGCGGTGTGAGGGGGAATTCGTCAGCCATAACGTGTTCAGGCTGGCTCAGAAGAACAGGGAATGTGGGATGTGCAAGATCTGACCGGCTGCGCAGGATCACGGAGGTGTCATCGAGTTCTATGTCCTCGTACCCATTTTCAGGATTGAGGAGATAAGCAACGCGTGACGACAAATGCTTTTGCATCACTCCCTTTTCCTCGCACAGATTTCGGAGATCAGTTACTTGTCGCTGCAGGCTGGTCACACTATTGCGCATTTCTTGCTCTTCCAGCGGAAACTCATCGAAGAATTCGATCTCAGCCTCGTTCAAGTCCATACCCGCGGCTGCCTTCATCTTTAATTCTCCCTCATGCTGCTCCTTGAGAAATAGTAGCTCGTCAAGCTCTTCCTTGGCGTTCTCAAGGTCACCGACTGCAGCCATAAGGTCCAGATACTTGGGATGCAGATCCTCGGATGGGCCATCAGGAGATATGCCCATTAGGTCTTTGGGAACATTCTTATCTTCCTCATGCTTTTTGTCGTCTTCGGCAGGCTGTTCGAGAGGAACTGCTTGACCAACCGCGAGCAAGCTAAAGAATCGAATCTCCAGCCTGTTGAGAATTTCCTCTTCTTCATCCAAGGTGATCTCAAGATCTTCGTAATCGTTTTCATAGGCTTGGTATTCAGTTCTCAGCCGCTGCAGCTCTGCCAGATGCCGTTCCAGAGTGGCAGGTCCTGTTACTATCTGCCCTTGTTGAGCAATCAGCATAGGTCGAACGACACCCATGAATGTATTGTCTGCATCGTCCCTCTGTCTCCTCAACTCTCTTAGTCTTTTTCGCTTCTTGGCCATTTGGCTCTTGATGTCGTTCAACTTGACCCGTTGATCTTTGAGTTTAACCCACAGCAGCTCTAGAGTATCCTCAGGAGGGGCAGACCCTTTCGATCGATGACTTCTGCTACCCCTGGTGGTTTCTAAGATAGGATCGAGGCTGGTGCTCAGTTCTAGGCGATCTTTCGGGGCGCGATCACGCTCGTATTCAGATATCCAGTTGGTTATACGAGTTGTCATAGAAGTCTTGCGATTTCCTCCTTGTGGATTCAAATTGGATGCTGTAGGATACAGAGGGGGAAACTGACGCGAGTTTCGGAGGACAAGAGAGTCCTCATCGGATAGAGAATCAGAGAAAGATATCTCATCATCAATCAACCTCGGGATTGTATGGTTTGAAGATTGAGATGTAGAAGCGGTATCCCGAAGTTCGGGCTGAGTTGATGCTTTTGGGGCCAGCCGGATTGCCAGATTACTCTTGTTTCCCGACTGATGGGCGCTGTGTGGTGGTCCGAAGCTAACAAATCCTCTCGGCGGTCTCAACTTTGGTGTTTGAGTCTGAGTGGGCACATCACCGGGAGAATTGGGTGTAGAACTGAAGGTCATCCGAGGTGGTGGCGTCGGCAATGTCTGCTGAGATAGCCGCTGTGGAGGTGGAACCGTGTCAAGGTTGTATGTGAATGGTGGACGTAGATTTGTATTGGCGATGAAATTGCCAGGTGGTGGTTGAGGTGGAGGCGGAGGCGGTGGTAGATAGAACGAGGGGCGACTTGACGCGTGCGGGGATGATGGCGATGATACAGTTGGAGGTCGAAGATAGAATAGAGGTGGCGGAGGCGGTGGTGGAGGAGGCGGATTGTCAAGGCCAGATTTCCATGGTGGAGGAGGATGAGAAGGCGGAGGCGGGCCCGACATGTCTATTACGCTGGCCTGAGTAGACGGTGCTTGATTGTTGGAAAACACCGTCTCAACTTCGGACATAGGGAAGCTTGTCGAGACATGAATCGGGTTTGATGGCGGTAGAGCATCGTGGACCGGATAATGTCCCTCGCCCTCAAGCTCATGCCGGTAGCGGGAATTGCCATGGGTCCCAGGCACGGGAAGAGGCGAGGTCGAAGAATGAGGATATTGGTGATGCGAGTTTTGGTGGATTCGGGCGTAGCTCGAGTGGTTGTGGTTGTCGTACGCTACGGCCTCCATCGACGTACGTAAGATCAACAGAGCTAAGATAAGGAGACGAACTCATTAGAACTGGAGGCGGCCTGTCCATTTCTCTCTTTCAGATAAACGGATGCGACGATCAATGCTGAGTCGATCGTTGAGGCTCTTTGCAATGCTGTCGACGAAAGGGAGAGGGAAAGGGAGATGGCAAGGAAATGAAGACAGCCAAAGCCAGCCAGGGATTTGATTTGCTTTTTCTTCATTTGGCGAGATAGCATAACTTGGGGCGGACGGCATAGCTCTCTGGCGGCTGATTTGCGCGTTGGAATGAGATGGTGACACACAACAAGGTTCAGTTTCTAGGGGAAACATCCCGGCGTCCGGGGGGCAGCGGCCACTAAAGGCTAGCGACAGTTAGCGCCTGAATGTGAGGAAAATGCATGTGGGAGCTTCTGATTTATCCATTGGCGATTACGCGACAAAGCAAGTCCAGCACTTGTCATCTCATGATCTGGACTGACCAAATAAGAACGTGACAGCAGGGCGAGTGAGGGGGAGCTATGAGTCTACACAGATTGTGCAGGAATTGCTGGGCCAGTGATAGGTAAGGTACCTATAGTGACCGTGTCAGACAATACTGGGGGCTGTTAAGGAGTGGAGGTCCTCTACGCGACGGACGGGTACTTGATGCAGCCTGGTTATCAAAAATAATGATGTCCCGTATAAACAAACGGTGGAGAGAAGAAGGAAAATATCCACGTCATTGGATCATAATAGAACGTTGAACGGACGGGAGCTTGTCAATTAAGTTACGCCTCATCGCGAGCCTGCTCTTGACTTTGACTGAGCTTGCCCGGTCACCAGACTTTTGAGGCCAGCTCAGATTCCACTAATTGGTGGATGCTCAAACACACACTGTGCTCTTCCCATCCACTTATCCCGTGCTAACTTAGCTTAGCAGATGCTACTAGAGCCTCGTCGTTGTAACTCTACCTCGACACCAACAGCAACACCCTGCAGACAGACATTCCCGATGGACGCCTTCCAAAATCGCTCACTCCCCTCCAATTCACCCACTTTGGTCCAATACGCTCTCGGCTCTTTGCATATTGCCCATGTCCGTTCCATCTTGGACTGTGTATTCGAAGGAGAGGGGCGTGTCTTGCAGGTTACGTTCAGTCTCTATTCAGCATGAAAAGCCCATATCATTCACCTGCTCTCTGCCCTCTCGAGCCCGCAACTCGACGTCTCAGCTGGTGTTATCTTGGACGGAACTGCATCTCCTTCAGGCCTTTCCCTTATTTCCTCCTCAGTTGCTTGCTAAGGGTCTCGTCATGCGAGTTTGCAGCTCGACTCCTCCGAGAACCCCTCCATGAGTCCACCTCCTCCACTTGTTGCATCCATCCCCACTCGACTCGTTCTGTTACTCGCTGGCTGATGCGCGACATTAAAGAGATGCTGGACTGCATAGTCAGAAGCGACTGATAAGCTGCGGTTGCCGCTCAGTTGTCCACCCTCTGAGCCCTTCCGGTTTCTACCTCTTGTTTCCCGTACCGATCTATTCTTCAAAGGTTGACCGGAACTGGGAGATTTTGCTGTCACTCAAAGCTCCAGCTCCTGCTCCTGCTCCTGCTCCAGCTGACTGACATCAGGCTGCACGCCATTCCTTCAGGCAGTCCTGTCACTCCTGCAGCTAAGCTGTTTTTCTGCCTTTCTTATTGCTGGTATTTGGTTGTCATCATCGCGTATCCTGCGGGTAGATGCTAGGCTTCCTGTTGTACCACCACCTCGACCAACCCGCCTTCAACAACTGCTTCTGACTCCTACTTCACCAGCAGCACCACCACAAGAGGCGCACGAGATACCCCTTCAGCATACTTTATGCAACTCTGAAGCAACAATCCTAGTTTTAGTAGCAGAATCTCACCTGCCTACCCCGACCTACATACGCCACAGGCATCAAATCCCTACAGGACACTGGTCAACCTCGCCCAGATACAGGAAGCCGGTATAGCACTAAAGCAGAGACGAGACAGCCGTCTCAGCGGAATCTCTCGAGTACTTGCATCTACAACAATCAATCCAATTTTATCCCGATCTACGCCAACGCACCCCAAGGAACCCAACGAGAGCCCGGATCTTCGTCCTCGTGCAACCCTTATCCAGTATCCATCCCGAATCAAGAGCTGAGCCGCATTTTTTGGTTAGCCAGCTAACTTCTCGGCTTTGCGGTTCCACTGTACTGTACTCTTGCTTATTTCTACAAAAGCCCCCAACCCACCATCTCCCCAGTTGTCGGTACCGCTTTACTTCAGTTCGTTACGTTCTGAACAACTAACAAGGCCTCGAGCTTTGGAGGCGAAAGAACTCATAGTTCTTTACATCAAACACTTCCTCGTTCCTAGCGGTGCAAAATACTTATGCATTCTCCGCACGTTTGACGTTTCGCATATTAATTACTGCGGTACCATATATCCACGTCAGTTTTCACACTTGGTGGGTGTATCAACTACATACCTATCTAAATCTCCTCCTCTTTAAACATATTTATTCCAATCTGCAATCGATTTGTGGTATTTAGACGCGTTGTTTGCATGCGCAAAATGCTACTATGTATCAAACAAGCAGACCAGAATGGAGCGAGTGGTCTAGGTGGATATGGAATCCAGACTACCAGCAATATTATCGCCAAAGAGTAGACGCTGCCGGTGTGTATTTCTATCTAGTCTTCCAGTCTCTCCTCCAGACTTACTAACCAAAGTCGCATAGGCAACTCTGATATCCAATGGCAGAGCGAGTATGAGTCTGCTCAGAATAGAGAGGTCCCCCGAACTCCTGTGCAAGTCCCTGCACAAGTTCAACAGATGGACCAGATGGACCAGGTGACCCAGCAGTTTGGTTCAGTCAACATACAGAGCCCTGAACAAGCGGCTGGAGACGAGCACGACAGTAAGTTTTGACCTGTGCTGGTCCCCCGATTTTTCAACATAAGCCGCTTGGCTCCTTTCCACCTCGTCGGCTCTTAAATGTGCTAACGTATTGGATGGTCTAGATAATGAATATGTCACGGGCGGCTCATCGTCGAGAGTAAAATCCAAATCATCGAGGTCGCATAGCAGTTCATCAAAGTCGAAATCGAAACCGTCCAAGTCCTCTGGTGGGAAAGGCAAGGCACCCGCTCAGGAAGCCATTGACGAGGTTGATGAACACGGTTATGAAAATCGTCATAGTCAACGGAGACCATCTGCATCTACAACCACTCAACAAACAGAACAAACCTGTAAGTAAGCAGAGAGCTGGCGGCGTCCTGATGGGAAAGATTGCTAACTTAGCCAGATTACGACCCGAATACTGGCCAGTATTACATGTTATCACAAGCTACTCAAGGTATGCGAAATGCTCTATCTCAATCTGAGTATGAGTATTGACAAAGCTTACTCAACCATAGGAGATTCTACATCGAACCAGCCCTATCCAAGTGGCTCAGCCGAGGGGGAAGACCCGGAGCTTCAGGCAGCCCTTGCTCAAAGTCGACAGTATTCGCGCGATCAATACCGAGGTGGCGAGTCGTCATCTGCTGCGTACACTCCCTATGGTACGTGACTTGGAGACTGAACTGTAGTTTAATTTGAGGTTTCTAACACCCATAGTAGCTCAAGACGAGGAAGAGGATCCCGGGCCAGCTGTGGCCTCCACCAACCAAGAGCACATTGTAGGCACTGGCGGCGAAACAGAGACTCTAGATCCACGTATGATTATCCATTCTATGTAAAGCGGGGTTAAACTAACTTGATGCTAGGTTATCGTGTTGCACAGTCTCACATGTTCCAACCCGGCGAGGTAAGTGACTCACCCCAGACTCTAAAACTATGCTGACCGCCGAACAGGTCTTCAAAGTCCTCTGGCCGGAGCCAGCAGGAGGAGGCAGTGTAGTTGAAGAAACGGTATATCGTGACCGGTACGGCGGTCAAATATTTGTTCATTTCCGTCGGTTCATCGTAGTCGCAAACGATCGTGGCCACTGCACTTGCATGTAAGTGTAATGCCCTATCAGCGCTTTGGCCCGAAATCGTGCTGACATTTTAGACCTATCTCTACCTATGGTAAAAAAGGCTGTAAAAAGAGTGGCGTCAAGGCTGAGCAACATGGAATTGTTGTTGAGAGTAGCAATCGAAACCCTACCGCCCTACCTGGCGAGCCAGAGCTTGGATATCCTCCTGTTCGTGTGCACATCCACGAGCCGGATGAGCGAATCGCAAAAGAGTCCCGAGTTAATTACTCAAAACTCACGACGGTGGAACATAATGTCAAAGTGCTCTTCATCGGTCGAGTGGTGACCTCAGATTGGGATACTGTCACCGAAGCGGTCAACGCTAGCTGGGCAAAGAAGACGCATGTAAAGAAAAAGCATCGCAGACCATGATCCTGCGAACAGCTCTATCATTCACGTTTTAAGGTGCCTGTGTAAGCAGGTCCCTACATCGGGTGTCATCAATGACACCTGCATATATACGTTCCTCAGGAGCAGCCAGCTTCTCTGGCATGCACCTGCGAAACTTGTCTCGGCAGCTTCGCAATCTCGAGACAGATACGGTATAGGTTATGCTCAGCTTTCCAAACATGCTGCCTGAAGTATCAAGGTAGCTTCTTGGTTGGAAACCGAACACCCTCGCAAGTGGCGCGCAGTTCACTAATGTGCGTTTACATAAGGTGGCCATTTTCTCCTTGTTCTTGCTTCGGATTCCTGGATTATTATTTTTTTTCCCTCTAAAGGTCTTGAACAATTCGGAAAGTGTTTCTAAGTACTCTATTGTGTTGGGCAAGATCTTTTTATACAACTTGACAGCAAGATTTGGTGGAACAGCACACAATTCCCGATACGTTGATAAAGATATTCTTGAAATATGCTGAGTTTGGATTTTTCTTGTTGTTGTTGTTGTTTCATTGTCTCCTCGCTCCTTCTCTTCCTCAGTTTTGAGATAGTCTTCCAGAGGCTTTCCAATGGGTTTAATGAAAGATATGATTCAGAAGGGCTTCACTGGATTTTATGATAAGTTGCAAATGCCTGGTTGGCATCACAATCATTTACGAGGCAGTGTCCCGTTTTTGGAGACGCTGAGGGGTGTCTCTTTGGTACGAGTCCAGCGCAAATATCAGAATGAATACACGAAGTTATGTCTACAAGGAAAGCTTCCTTATTATACAAACATGAATGAATGAAAAGCCTTGTTGTGTGTGAGGTTACCGAGATAGACCCACCCACCGGACGTCGTGCCTCGGCATCTTTTTCCCCGCAACCGGAGGCTTAATTAATGAACCCCGGACATACCCCAGCACAGACAAAACTCCGAGGCTCGACGCTCGTCACCAAGATCAAGGGGAGACATTGCTAATCAGTTTTCTTTCCTATAAAAGATCGCTTCATCCTTCAATATTCGAGTAAAATATTTTTGCTTTGATCTCATTGTAAAAGTCGTAGGACTATTCCTTCACACCACACGACCCGTTATACGTCATCCCTTCTACCCTTGTACTACCTATCCACTTCCCTTTTCACAACAACAAATACAAACACAAAATAATGGCTGAAGCTCAGTTGGAAGATTTCCCTTCGCTTTTCTCCCTGAAGGGCAAGGTCGCCGTTATCACCGGTGGCTCTCGCGGTCTGGGTCTGCACGCGGCTTCTGCGTAAGTCATTCATTACGATTTGTCTATAAACGCGACTGACATTGCCTCAGGTTCCTCCAAGCAGGCGCATCAAAGGTCTTCATCTCATCCCGTAAGGCCGCTGCCTGTGAAGAAGCATGTAAAGCTCTCAATGCTCTCCCCAACCTGGCTCCCGGTGCTGTTGCCATCTCAGTTCCCGCGGACTCATCCAAGTTCGAGGGCGTAGAGAGTCTTCTCGCGCAGGTCAAGAAGCACACTGACCGCGTCGATATTCTCTTCGCTAATGCTGGAGCTACATGGGGCGAGCAGTTTGACACGCATCCTGACTCTGCTTTTGCCAAGGTCATGGACCTCAATGTCAAGGCTGTTTTCAACACAATCCGGCTTTTCACACCACTCCTCGAGAAGAGCGCTTCTCTTCAGGATCCTAGCCGTGTGATTATCACTGCCAGTGTTGCGGGACTCGGTGTCGGCACAATTGGAAAGCAGGGCACATATGGTTACTCCGCCAGCAAGGCTGCTGTGCTGCATCTGGGACGCAACATCGCCATGGAGCTGGGACCTAGGCACATCACCGTCAACTCTATCTGCCCCGGCTTCTTCCCTAGCAAGATGTCCAATGGTCTGCTGGAAATGTCTGGTGGTGCTGAGGAGATCGCAAACAGTAACCCCATGCGCCGACTGGGCAAGCCTGAGGATATTGCTGGTGTGGTTGTTTACCTCGCTAGTCGGGCAGGATCTCATGTTAATGGTGAGACAATTGCTATTGATGGTGGTGCCCTGTGGCAGCGAGGCGAGCTCATGGTCGAATCCAAGTCAAAGTTATAGGGGCAATGGATGCCAAATGTATGATAAAGAATGGCCCTTCATTTATAGGGATTTGAGTAGAAGGTAAATACCTCTTGATGTCTATTGATTTATTTTATCCGTGCCAGCCTTGATGTTATTCGTTGACCATCATGAACTCCCTTGATCCAATGGCTTTCGAGCCATCCAAGTACTTGCTCTATACGTTGACTGCAAAAGACTATCAGGATCATGAATATACGGGGCATGGACACCAGTCTTGTGCCATTCAACAACAAATCCCATCTTCTCCAACAGTGCAATGACTTCGTCGCCGGCCAGCTCAAAACTTCCTGGATCAGCAATGCCCGATGAACTCTTTGGGTCATGCTCTGCTTCACCATCTTGTCCATGGGTACCAGGCGCATTGTTCTCGAAATGCCACAATAACGGCCCCACGTTGATGAGAACACCCCCAGGCCGAAGACAGTGCCGTATGACCTCCAGGTACCGAATCAGATTGGGCGCTGTGTCGAGGAAGAAGACACTTGCCACAGCATCATACTGTGCTTCATGGTCTTCATTAGAGTAGAGACAGAGAAAGTCGGCGGCGCACATGGACATTTCTCCAACATTAGGTGTGGCAGCTAGAACGGAGGCTGGATGGATGTCCGGAACGCGATAGCTTCTGAGGTGGTTCGCTCGGGTGAGGTGGTTGGAGAAACTATGGACCCAGGGGTAAATAGTATGCTGTTCGGCCGCAGGACAATAGTTGAGAATGTATGATGAAGCAAGGAGTTGGTGATACGAGATTTCGTTGCCTTCAGCGGTATATCCATTCGCAACCAGATCAAATACCAATCTTCCTAGACCTGCGCCTGGAACCAATACGCTTAGAGGAGATCTATCCGGATATCTCTCCTTTTCTGCCGCAAGAGCTTTCATGATGGGGCCATAGCTAGCTTCTCTCTCTGCAGCTCCCGCCTCGGTCCAATCTCTGTAGAACTGACGAATAGTACTCCTCGCCTTGTCAACATCAGAGTGTTTGGCGACGCCGGCCCATTCTTGAGGCATCTTGGGTTCTGGGTCTTCGGGATCTGTTGTCATCATTCGAAATGACTGTAGGCCAACACAAGCAATGGTACGAGCCAGCTCAGCATTCTCATCAATTGCATCATCAGTCTTCTCTAGAGTGTCTAGGAAGTTGAACGGAGGTGCAGCCAAGAGTTTCCATTGTTCTTGAGGAAGAGCATAGAAGGCTTGACGACGAAGGTGTGTGACGTTGAAGTGAGATACCTTTGCGTATTGGCTATTAAACGTTCAGCATGAGGAACAGTACCCTTGAGTCAGATTACATATAGTGTTGCACAGATGCTGGGGGCCTTGTATGGTTTGCCAACAGAGCGAAAGGAGAATGATCCGACTCAAGTGAGTTTCTTGGGATAACTCACAAGAATGAATCCAAGGCGCTGAATATGACTCGAACCTCTTCAGGATCTTCAGCATTGTCCTCTACTCCAGCCCATGCACTTTCATCTGGGACAATTTCGATGTGGTGACCATCTTCAGATCCGGCCATACTGTTTGGCTTAGAAATGGATTCTGATATGCTGCATTTAAGTAAGGGTCATGGAGGGGTAGAGAGGAATGTCGAAGATATAGCACAAGGGTCAACTTTTTGGTGATCTCACAAACCCTGCTCTTAGAAGTAATTTAGCGAACTCGGGAAATAGTGAGAGTAAAAATTGATGAAAAGATTAGAATGGACTCATGCCACTCACTTTCTACAAGTTGACAATGATTTATGCGGGCCTCCGAATGAGTTGACGTGGGGTTGAGGAGATCATGTGATTGCGGATTTGAGCAAATCGACAACTTGAATAAAGCATCATCAAGCATCTTGTTAGCTTGATATTTGCCGTCTGGTCGTTGTTTTATTACCAGTAAGTACAATTACAATCTCGGCATTGTTGTTTTGGCTGCAAATTTAGTAACCTCTTCAGTTACGTCAGAAGCTGAGACGAAACACTGATTTCTACTTCAACTCGCAACACACACACACACACACACACACACCCAGCACTCAGAGCTACCAAAGATTCTCACTCGCCGTCTTAGGATCACGAGATTTCTGCTACACCAAGAGAATAAAGCGATACTTCCTCATAAGACACATCATGGCTACAGACATAATTGAGCTCTCTGTGCCCCTCCCCCGCTCTCTAGACACCCGCATCTACCTCCGCCTTTCCACCAAAGCAAAGTCCATTGTGCTGTTCCTTACAACAGCGACACAAGACGAGCTCGCCGCTCCTGTCTCTATGGGCTCTTTTGTCTACGCTCTGCCCAACGTGAGTACGGCCCGTTTCTGTTCCGGTAATACTTTGCTGACCTTCATAGCAACTTGACCAGGCACAGCCATTATCTACCACGCTCTATTCTTCAGAGGCATCAGTGGAGTTTACAACACGCTTGGCGAGACTTTTGGCTCGGAAATCACAGCTCCCGGTGTACGTCACTAACTCGATTAGTTTTGCTAATGCGGGCATGGGAGGCACGGTGGAAGAGGAGATGGAGGCCTTCAAGAACATTGCTCAGGTTGTGTCAGAGAGGCTACAGCTATCGGGCCCCAGGTCAACGGCAGCCTGATACGATAAGGACACCTTGCCTGCAACCAGGTCAAGGAATACGAAGTTTTGAGACTTAACAAATGTCAATCTTGGAAGAAGAGCTATGGACTTGCATCACCTACCACCTTAGCCTCTCCGTCAATACCTGATGTCTATCTTAGGAACTCTCACCGACAGAACTAGAACCACTCAGAATTATGGTGTACAGCTTCATCATGTCACCGAGTAGCATGGCTGTCAAGAGAGTCCTGGGAGAATTACGGCGTGGACCACAAACAATCCCGGATGAATCCGCAGTGGCACACAGAGGTAGACGTCTTGAGGCAAATGTGTGTCACCAGGCGGGATTGCGCGTGTAACACCATAAGACCCAATCCTTCTGTTCTTGTGCTGAGGAGGCTTGCTAGGGGAGGAAAGAAAACTCAGGACCTCGATCCTAAATGACAGAAAGACTTAGGTAATATAGCCTCAGCTTAGGATGACTTTTACCAAGTGTATTTTGATACCCTAGAGTGAGGTTCGCTGTTTTCTCCCCCCCGAGGGCTTGTTATCGTTGTGCCTTTTTAATAGGTATTACACCGAAGAGAAACAATAAAGGGTCTGTGAGTACACGATGTATCTATCTCGCCTCCGCGACGACGGCTTCCATTGCTTCAGGACTTTGTATTCCCAAATTGTTTGGACAAGGCGGCCAGACTCGCCGTGTTTCTCGGGCATAAGTCAGCGGCAGACCGCTTTATTGCGACAGCGACTGGCCAGGAAATGGTGTCGCACAAGTGATACACAATGTTCAGGCTGGTGCAACACTAAGCTGTGCGGCACTTACAACGAGACTGATCCCGCAGTGACGCTTTGGTGAAACTAGACTATCAGATGAAGGGTGATGCTCTGGATAGTTTATCGGTTCATACGGAAGACTACCCAGGCAAGAAACCAGCTAAACATGGATGTTGGTATGGATATTTGAGTTTCTAGAGTTGCAAATATGGCCTGAGTCTGAACACAGTATTATGGGTAGCTCAAGGCCGTTAGATGCTGTCTCAGGCAGGGCCACGGCCCGTTGCAGGCGTTAATATGAATGGATGATTCAGAGCCATATCAATGTTGTTGAAATGGTTGGATAACGGGATCATACAAGCGGCTATTTCGTCTTGTCGACTCTTCTAAGCAGCCACGCACGAGACGAGACGAACGGTGTATAAGATGACAACATTTCTTTCCTGCTCTAAAACAAAATAGAATGGAACCCAACAGTTTATTCTAGCTCCGGCGATCCCCGCAGCAAAGAAACCGAACCTGCCTTGCATTTCTTCAGTGACAAATTTTCTCGGTTTCTGCGGGCGGGTTATCGTTATCGCACCCCGCGCCACTAGAAACTTGGATTGGCACAGCCTTATTGGGCGTTCCAGGCTACTTTACAGTGCGTTTGATACATGACACGCCCCGATTGTGTCTCTCATCTCGCTATTGCTAGTCCCAAAGGGGCAATTTCTTGGTTGGATGCCCTTGACTTGACCTTGAGCCTCCGCTCTCTCCTCAAAACTACACCAAAATCTTCGTCCCCTACTGTTGGTGGGCAGCTGAGCTTCTTCAACTTTAACTCGAGAGATCTGCATCAACCTCTCCCCCTCGATTGTCTTTTTCTTAGCAGCTGCGTCTCAAGACGCACGGCGTCCTGTCATCCTTTTTCATAGATATTACCATCACGATCGCGATAAGCAATCCCAAGGAACAAAGGCGAGGCTGCTAGGCGTCTCAGTAACAAACCAGGTGAGTAGACTTAAGTTGACTTGAGCTTTGCAGTGTGGCCCCACGGTGTTGCACATCCCTGTATCGGAGGGGCACATTCGCTTCTCGCCCACTGCCATCCCATACGACGACGGACGGATACTCTATCCCACTATACATACAAGCAAGAGTCCACCGCTGGTCTCTCGTCTCTCCCCTCTCCCAGACTCCTTCACCATTGTCATCTCTATCTTGCCCTGGCTCAAGGTCTGCGCATTGCTAACTGTTGACGAGTAGGAGCTGTGGAGCTTAGCTCATGTGAAAGTCGTTCACAAAGTTTCCATCTCGCTTCTGCGCCCCTCTTCTCTACATCCGCTTTCCGCGACGTTCAGAGACGTTGTCAACATTATCGCAGCCATGTCCTCCTGGGAGCCCGCCCCCGATTCGCTGCAGCAGCTTGCTGCTTGCCTCAAAGACTCCCTCAGTGGTTTCGACAAAAGTGCTCAGAAGCAGGCTGACTTGGTAAGACTTTGCTTGCCCATCGCAATCCTTGCGCCGCCCCTCAGCTAATCATCCTTTGCAGATGCTTCAACAAGCCAAGAACTCGCCCGACATCAACAACTATCTCGCCTATCTCTTCTCAAGCTCTTCACCTCCTAATGGCCTTCAATTTTCGGAGCAAGA